AACTGGTCCACCAGCAGGCCGAGACCACACTAGTGAAAGGACACGAAGCTCACAACGTAGCCATCGCGTGGCCTCGGCTCCGGCTCACCCGACGGAGTTCAATCCACTCCGGCCTGTTGGAGTTGGTAACCGGACGGAGAAGGCCGTCGTTGACAAGCGACTGGAGCGTCTCCATGGATACGTCGGACCGACCCCAAGCATCCACCTAAATGACAATAGTGCCGACCATGAGTGCGGTGGAGAATGCGACTACGACGGTAAGCCTCTCCCTCTCTGCCTCGCCCTTCTCCCTTCTTCTCCCTGGTGCTCTCTGTTCTAGCAATGGCTCAAGGGCGGCAAAGGCGAATGCAGGCAAGGTAAGGAGGGGAGGGGCGAGGCTCGTCGCGTATTTATGCAGGAAGGGGCCGAAATGGGCAGGCGACGAAATCGGGGAAGTTTCCTTCAGATCCGGCATAGTTAATCCAGATCCAATTTAATCGCCCACGCACCCACCTTTTCCTTATTAATCACGTGAACAGTTATGTCCCATCCGCTGACAGAGCGTCGCGTCCGACCGCAGCAGCGGCAGGCGCTGTTCCGCCTCCTCGAGAAAATTGCCTCAAAAGGCGCGCCTGCCGTTGTCAAGCCGATGGGGGGGAATATCCCCACCCGATTCCTTTCAAACGAAGGAACTAGGCACCGAGCCTGTTACGGTCCAGGGGTTCGAAGGCTGGGCCCCCGAGGGTTTCGACAGCCACCCCAGGGCAACAGAGTCAGGGACGACTATGGGCGAGCCCACACGGGGCCAAAACCCAAGCAAGCGAAACGCTTGGGATGCCCTAAGTCGTGTCCGAGACCGGCAGGGAGGTCTCCGAATGGGATCCCACCGTAGGGAGGCACCGAGCCACTGGGGCCCATCGAATGGCCCCGATACCCACTAGAGAAGCCCTCTAGTACTCTTGGAGTGCATCTCTGGACCACTAGCTAACCCCTATCGAATGGGGCACGAGCCTCCACTCGGACTTACCCGATAACAGCTCACCGGAAGTGTCACCGCTCGCGCCCACTGAGGGTAGCCTGGCATATTCAACCCCTCCTTCCAAACGAAAAGGATGCGCGAGGGTCGCATAAAAAGCTAGGGGAACCCCTGATGGCCCTCTCGCTCTGTGCAGAGGCTAGGGGGCTCTTCCTGCAAACTTGCCGAGACCCAGCGACCTAGGCTCACACGCGAGGGCTCGACAAACAACCCCTCCTTCCGAACAAAAAGGATGCGCGAGGGTCGCACAAAAAGCCAGGGGAACCCCTTACGACCCTCTCGCTCCGTGCAGAGGCTAGGGGGCTCTTCCTGCAAACTTGCCAAGACCCAGCGACCTAGGCTTGCACGCGAGGGCTCGGCAAACAACCCCTCCTTCCGAACGAAAAGGATGCGTGAGGGTCACACAAAAAGCCAAGGGAACCCTTGATGGCCCTCTCGCTCCGTGCAGAGGCTAGGGGGCTCTTCCTGCAACCAGGTCGAAGACAAGCAACCCAAACTCGTAGGAAAAAACGCGATAAAGGGCACCGAGCCCGTTACGGTCTAGGGGTTCGAAGGCTGGGCCCCCGAGGGTTTCGACAGCCACCCCAGGGCAACAGAGTCAGGGACAACTCTGGGTAAGCCCGTACATGGCCGAGGCCAGAGCAAGCGACTACTCGGGACGCCTTAAGTCGTGTCCAAGACCGGCAGGGAGGTCTCCGAATGGGATCCCACCGTAGGGAGGCATCGAGCCACCGAGGCCCATCGAACGGCCCTGGCACCCACTAGAGAAGCCCTCTGGTACTTTTGGAGTGCATCTCTGGACCGCTAGCTGACCCCTATCGAATGGGGCACGGGCCTCCACTCGGACTTACCTGATAACAGCTCACCGGAGGTGTCACTGCTCGCGCCCACCGAGGGTAGCATGGCACCCTCCACCCCTCCTTCTGAACGAAAAGGATGCGTGAGGGCCGCACAAAAAAGACAGGGAAACCCCTGATCGCCCTCTTGCTCTGAGCAGAGGCTCGGGGGCTCTTCCTGCAACCAAACCGAGGCTCAGCGATCCGAACTCGCACTCATGGGCTCGGCAAACGCAATAAAACCCCTCGCACGACGTAAGAAAAGCCCCTAGAGGAATAAATCCACTCCTCTAGGGCCTCGGGGGCTACACCCGGTGGGTGCGCTCGCGCGCACCCACCGAGGCCTCGAGTATGAAACACCATCCCGCCAGGAGCTGCTGCGAGCCAAGTCTCGTCAAAACCTCAAGGAGAGCGCTCACACTCTCCCTGAGGCTCGAGGGCTACTGTCGGGTACCATAAGAAGGGGTCCCCTAAGGAAAAATCTGAAAAATTGCTTAGACCCCGTCAGAATCAAAGTCAAGAGACAACTATTGGCTAACCCCCGGCCTTGTCCAAGGCCACCGACTCTCTGCCTTGCTCGAGGCCTCGCACAAAAGGCCTCGGATGGCCTACCGAATCTCCGCCTCGCTCGAGGCCTTGCACGAGGGGCCTCGGACGGTCTACCGATTTTCCGCCTCGCTCGAGGCCTCGCACGAAAGGCCTCGGATGGGGAACCGATTCTCCGTCTCGCCCGAGGTCCCACGCGTACAGCCTCGGACGAGATGCCGATCCTTCGTCTCGCTCGAAGCCGGCTCGGTAATAACCCCGTCGCCTCTGCCTCGACCGATCTCCACAACAGAGCGTCGCGTCTAATTAATGCGACCAACCACTCCCGCAACATCAGACGGACGACGGCTCGACACAGCAGAGCAGCCGACGAGACGGGAAGTCGCATCAGCACCATACCGTCCGGGACAAGACAGGACGGGGCAGGGGTTACCGGCCGCTGTGCTCGATACTGTGCCCACGACCGGCGCCCGCATTGCACCGTGCTACCTAACCCTTGCTCCTGGAACAACGTGGCGTGAGGAGTCAAGTCCGGGTCACTATAGCCTCGGAATCAGTGTGCAGGACCAACTGCTCCCTCCACGCCTCGGCAATCTACTTCAGGGTCTCGGCAACCTCGGGATTTGCGCCCACCGAGCCCCCCACGATGGCTCGGCCTCGGCACCAACTAAGCCTTGGCTCTTCACGCGGTCAACACACAGCGACCGGCACGTCGCCCGCCAGGCCCTGCGTCAAGCTATCACTGGAGCTCCCACGTCGCACAGGATCGGATGTGACCGGCGCGTTGCTCCAGCACTTCAAGGGCAGGACCACTCCATCGCCCATGCCGCCACAGTAATAGGCTACAGGGCTCGGACATGCCGCCTTTGTTCGCACGACGCCACGTAGCTAACACATGTATCACCCCTGTCCCCCCTTCAACTATAAAAGGGAGGGACCGGGACTGTTTCTAGGGGGAGGCACACGAGCACACGAGATAGACGAACACTCATGGGAAGAGGAACAGACGAACTCACTCACTCACGCGCAAGCAACACTCTGTAACACACACGCTTCCCCGCGGCCTGAGATCAGCATCTCAAGCAAGTCACATCGCTCCACGCAGAGACCTGGGACTAACTCCCTCTCTCGCCCTGCTTGTAACCCCTGCTACAAGCACCTCGGTGCAAGGAATACAAGATCGATCTCTCAGGCTAGACGTAGGGCACCTATTGCCCGAACCAATATAAACCTTGTGTCTCTTTGCATCACCATCCGAGATTAGGGGCACGCCGGTCCAAAACACCGACATCTATCATTCTAGAAATTAAAAACAATGGTTACATTCTGTAATGTTCTTCTCATGGATAAATGAAGTATGATAGTTTTTAGACATGTAGTGGGATATTTAAAATGTGGGTCCTATTGAAAAAGAATTTCAAGTCTATATTTAGATGGTGTTTAAATTTATGGGCTAAAGTTTATGGGTGTCACATCGGCTGTTATATGAGGTGCCACGTGGGAGTGTTCGGATAATAATAATAAAATAAATTACAGAAGTCCTCAGAAATCCACGTGACGAATTTATTAAGCCAAATTAATCCGTCATTAGTACATATTTACTGCATCTTTTCTGTAGCACCACATTGTGAAATCATGGATTAATTAGGTTTAAAAAATTAATCTCGTAATTATCTTTTCTGTAGCACCACGTGACGAATCATGGATTAATTATTTTTATAGTTTATATTTAATACTTTATGTATTCAAACATACGATGTGATAAAGACTAAAGTTTAGAGAGGAACTAAACAGGACCTTACATTTTTTTTAGATAAGATTTAAAACCCAACATTACATTCTTTCTGGCCCTCTGTTTAGTTTCCAAATTTACATTTTTTTTAGATAAGATTTAAAACCCAACATTACATTCTTTCTGGCACTGAGGCATAGGCCCTGTTTAGTTTTCAAATTTTTTTGCTCCTACAGTAAAAGAGCATGTTTGACACATGCACAGAATACTAAATATAGACGAAAAAAAACTAATTACACAGTTCTCGATAAAATCGCGAGATGAATCTTTTAAGCCTAATTAGTCCATAAAAAGCCTTAAGTGCTACAGTAACCCACATGTGCTAATGACCGATTAATTAGTATCATTAGATTCGTCTCGCAGTTTCCTGATGGGTTCTGTAATTTGTTTTTTTATTAGTATCCAAAATCCTCTCCCAACATCCTTCCAACACATCTGACGTGACACCCAAAAAATTTCAACTCCCCGTCGAAACACACCCTAAACACACCCATAGCTTTTTCGGCACACCAGACACACAGTGTGTAGCCGTTGCCATCTCTCTGGCTTCTTCGGCACACCAGCGAAGGCACAGCATCATGGGCCTGTACGATAGGCTCCAGCCCACAAAAAATGGGGGCATTTCCGTCTTTTCGCGTCCAAAATTTTTCCTCTCGGCGGAACCGCCGCCCGCCCCCTCAAATCCGCGCTAACCCTCGCCCCGTTCCGTCCCCCTCCCCCCTCCAAATCGAATCGGCCCCTCTCCTCTCCATTCCCCCCGCCTCCTCTCGCCTCCCTTCCGCCGCAAGATTCACCCAGGCTCGCCAGCGCGATGGCGGCGCAGCTGACGCCCGGCGCGGTGGCGGCGATCTCGGAGCACGCCGACGGCGGCAACGGGACGCTGCAGCCGGTGCTGCAGGTGGTGGACGTGCGGATAGTCCCCAACGTCAAGGGCCCCACCAACCACGAGCGCTTCCGGATGCTGCTCTCCGACGGCGTCCACACGATGCAGTCCATGCTCGCCACCGCCGAGAACGTGCTCATCCACAACGGCTCCATCAAGAAGGGCTCCATCATCCACCTCCACGAGTTCACCTGCAGCACCATCCAGAACCGCAGGTGAGGATTCATTAGTTAATCATCCTGCCCCGCGCTCGATTCCCCGCTCCATCCCAGATTCGAATCTCGCAGATTTGTATTATTTTGTTGCGTTCCTAGTAGTAGTAGAAAGGCTGAATCTTGGTTTGCTTCCCGCACGGTTCAGTGATGTAAAACATGCAGTGTATTAGGCTCGTGCCATATCGTTAGGGGCGACATTTCCGTACAAGATTTGCGCCCACCGCTTTGGAAAGATAGATTGGGATTCGGTGGTGGTAGAAAATGGTATTTGGGCGATGTGGTACTAGGGTTTATGGTCATTCCAGTCCAGACTCACGGAAGTCTTGTTGATTGTTTTTTTCCCACTATCTTTAGATTAGCCTCGGACTAGGTTAACTTCACTGCAATGGAGTCCAGCCAGTTCTATTCTTGTTTCTGTTAAGGTTGTTGTGCTTCTCTGCATGTGTTTTTTTAACCCTTTGATCCCTACAATGCACAATGATGTTATTTTCCCTTTGTCATTAGCAATTTTCCAATTTCCACTGAAAGAAAACCATCAAACAGGCAATGGTTAATATGCAGAGTTTCTTTGGTTCTGTATAAACTTTCTATACTGTTGATGATGATCCTTAGTGCAGTGAAAGGGTGCTGTAGTTTTGTGCTATCTGAAAACTCTTATTCTGGCATCCATGTCAAATCAGTGAAACTGTCACAACACATTCTGTTGTGACCATTCAAATAATTCTTAAGTAGCTCTTTTAAGATACGACAGAGTCTGAACCTTGTATACTCTTGTGGGAGTTACTAAAGTATGCACAATTATAGATTTCTAATGAATTACCATACATCAATAGAATCTGAATCTACTGATTATGTATGCTGGATTTTAAGATCTGAAGTGGGTTAATGTTGCTTCATGAATGTTTCAAGAATCGTTATTTCCCCAACTTCTTTGGTTCTATAACTTGAGTCAATTCTTGGAAATACCTATTTCTGTTAGAGCTGACTGGGCATCTCATAAAGAGAAGAATATCATATTTGAATGTTAGTTTGTTTACACCTTTTTGTGGCTTGCCTCTTATCAGTTGAGTTGACCATGCCTTTATCTTTTGTTCAGGATCATTATTATTATCAAACTTGATGTTCTGCAAAGCGAGTGCGCCATAATTGGAGACCCCAAAGCCTATGATGTGAGAATCCAACCTAATGAGCAGGGCACCAACTTTGCGGCCAATGCTGCTCAAGCTAATACCGGAACATATTCCAGCGGCCCTGGTATGCTGGGATCTTCTGCTGCTCCAAGGCCATTGCAAGATGCTAATAATGTACCATACGGATCTTCTGCTGCTCCAAGGCCAGTGCAAGATGCTAACAATGTACCATATGGATCTTCTGCTGCTCCAAGGCCAGTGCAAGATGCTAATAATGTACCATACGGTGGATCCTATGGTGGTTATCAGGGTACGGTGGGCCCTCCAATTGGTCGTGCAGTAGAATCTGTTCCCAATGTGGCATCTGGTGTCTCTTATGGTACAACTTCAGCACATAATAATACAATGAATGTGGGCATGGTGCAGTCAAACTTGCAGCAGCCTTCACTGAACTCTCACCAGAACCAAAGGTTTGCAGTTCCTTCCATGGCTGGTGGCAGTGGTGCTCCTGGGAATACATACGGCCAACCTGCACAGTCCTTTTATCAGCAACCGCCTCCAGGGCATATGAATAGAACCCCTGTGTCTAAGAATGATGCAAGTCGTCTTGTCCCAGTGGCTCATTTGAACCCCTACCAATACACATGGACAATCAAGGCTAGGGTGACTGCAAAGACTGATCTCAGGCACTACAACAACAACAAAGGTCCTGGAAAAGTCTTCTCCTTTGATCTCCTTGATGGACAGGGTGGAGAAATCCGTGCAACATGCTTCAATGCGCAGGCTGATCAGTTTTTTGACCTCATTGGGGTTGATAAGGTGTACCTGATATCGAAAGGGTCGGTGAAACCTGCAAGGAAGCAGTTTAACTCTTTGAACCACGAGTATGAAATAACTCTGGATTTCAAATCATCTATCGAAGTTTGTGTTGATGATGATAGCAACATCCCTAGGCAGCAGTATAATTTCCGGCAGATAAGCGAAATTGAGAACCTTGAGGCAGGTGCTATTGTGGACTTGATTGGAATTCTTACATCAGTTGGCCCTTCTGCCACAATAATCCGAAAGGTTGGTGGCTCGGAAGCCCAGAAAAGAACTCTTCAACTGAAAGACATGTCTGGTCGAAGCGTAGAAATTACCTTATGGGGGAAGTTCTGTGATGCTGAAGGCCAGCAGCTGCAGTTGCAGTGCGATTCTGGTTTGAATCCTGTTCTAGCTTTGAAAGGTGCCCGGGTTACTGAATTCAGTGGTAGATCTGTGAACACAATCGGCTCAACTCAGTTAAAAATAGACCCAGACTTTCCTGAGGCTGAGAGTCTGCGGCGATGGTATGCAACTGAAGGGAAGACAGCTGCTTGTGTTTCTTTGTCAGGGGTAAGTATGGGCAGGACTGATGTCAGGAAAGCAGTGGCTCAGATCAAGGATGAAGATCTGGGGCGATCAGAGAAGCCAGACTTTATCACTGTTAAAGGTGCAATTTCACATCTGATCACTGATAATTTTTGTTATCCTGCTTGCACCATGGAGGTGAATGGTAGGGTGTGCAACAAAAAGGTAATAAATAATGGTGATGGGACATGGCAATGTGACAAATGCGACCAGAGCTTACCAAAATGCGAGTATAGATACTTGCTGCAGTGCCAGATCCAGGACCACACTGGGGTCACCTATGCTACTGCATTCCAAGAGGCTGGTGTCGAGATCGTTGGCCACAGCGCCTACGAGCTCTACAACATAAGAGAAGAAGACCCAGAACGATTTGCTGAGATCTTACAGGGGGTTCGCTGGCAGCAGTTTCTATTCAAGCTGAAAGTCAAGGAAGAGACCTTTAATGATGAGCAGCGTGTCAAGTGCAGCATTATGAGAGCGGAGAAGCTGGATCCAGCAAAAGAGAGTTCTTACCTTCTGGGGGTAATCAATGGCCTATTGCAGGATGATACTGGCTCACCTTCTGAGGCGCAAGGCGCCATGGCCTATAATTCTGGTCTCAGCAACACTGGCGCTGGACGAAGCGTGCCAACCTCCAACAGTGCCTACACCACCAATATGAGTGGTCCAATATATGGGGAGTCCGCGAACCAGTTCGCGCAGCAAGCAAACACGTATATCGGGGTGCCCACTCCAGTGTCGGTGACAGGGAATGTGCAGACCTGCATGTCTTGCGGGTCAAGTGGGCACAACGCGCAGAACTGCCCTGCAGGCATGTACAGGCAGCAGCCTGCTGTGAGAACGGCAAGCTCCTACGGCTCTTCGCAGCCTCGTAACGCTGGCCCCAGACCGTGTTTCAAATGCAATCAGATCGGGCACTTTGCTAGCTCTTGCCCACTGCTGGCCCCTGCCCCCCAGCAGCAGCAGCAGTATCGGAGCGGCGGCGCTTCGTCAGGTGGTTATGGTCAGCAGCAGCCCTATCTTGGGGCTACCAACTACTGAAAGTCAGTATTGGATCAGGCGTGATATTGGTTTTGCTTTAGATGCCTGTCCTGATGGCATCGTTGCGTCTATCAATGTAGTGTAGATACAGAATGTTCCTTTTGTGTTTGTGTGTGAAGTTGGAACCATGTATCTCTCGGTACCTCAAAATGTTTTTCGTCTTATATATGGTGTGGTAAATCCTCGTTGCTGTGTCAGTTCTGTTGAATTCGTGGTTTGTCCAGCTTAATTAACTCACTGTATGGTGGTTGTAAATTAATGCAACTCATCTTTAGATTGTCAGCAGTTCATTTTGGCTCCAGGTTCATCTTATCTTCTATGTACTCGAGTTAATTTTCTTCTTTCTTTATGTTTTTTACCCCCGACATATATGATTGATTTTTGGCGATACAAACATTGTTTTGAGAGGCGAAACAAATACCATGAAGCTGCACAAACTTTTTTTTTAAAAAAAAGAAGCTGCAAAGGCGAAATAAGTTGCCCTGCTTGGCTGATAAGCCATAGTTAAAAGTGTCGTTGGCTGATTTATTGTAAGAGAAAATATTGTTCGTTGGCTGAAAAAGTACGGCTTATAAGCCAAGCGAAATAGTAAGGAATATGTTTCTAAGACGGGCCCAATCCATCACAGCCCATCAGCCAATTATGGCTTGAAACTGCACAAGGCCGAAACAATATGTTCCTGGGCCGGCCCAACCCAGCGCCATTGTGATAAAATCGCTGCCAGTTCGTCTTACTCCAGAAAAACCCTCTCCTCTTGTCCGCCCAGCCTAGGGTTCTTCCTTCCCGACGCGCCGCCGCCATCTCGCCGCTCCGACTCGCCTCTGCCCGCCCAGGTAATTTCCGGGTTTCGGAGTGTAGATCCATGCGGGCCACTTAGAACTTTTAGCCCGCCAACGATAGGAACCAGCAAACTCGTAGAGATTTTTTTTTTTGGTTACGCTATATATGGATCTGAGAACTGTGTTTCGTTCGAGCGAATAGTTAGTGACTTCGTGTTTAATCCATGTGCAGATTGACGGCTCCACTTGGATCCCATGGCGGAAGAAACCAATGTAAGCTGAAAAAAAATTACTGCATCCCCCTCCCCCGGATGTTGCTCTCTTCTTTCTGGTGCCGTGAATTAATTGTGATTTGGTACTTGTGTGGTTTTCCTTTTCCTTTGTCGAAACAGGTAAAGAAGGAGGAAGAGGAGTTCAGCACCGGTCCTCTCTCAGTGCTCATGATGAGCGTCAAGAATAATACCCAGGTTGGTAGATTTCCTCTGGAAAATTCAGTGTCTCCTTCGCAGTCTGTCTACATTGACTTTACTTCTCAAGTATGAAAATATGTATGTGCTGGTGTTTTTGTTGTATAATCTGGTACCATGATGTGGATTATAGTTATGCAATGTGCCTGCTGTCCAGCTGTGTCAATATGGTTAACCTTAGTTGGCTGCCTCCTGCTCTTGGTAGTCCTGGAACTTAGATCCATTGTTAGGTTATATTTGACCATAGTTTTTGTGTATCCTCCATCCAACTTATGATCGTTTGTGTTGTATTTGAACCTTCTTATTTATTGGCTGAGACAAATATAGTTCTGTGCAGCAGCCTGAAGCTCCTGCTTCACCAAATCATATGGCTAGTAATCTTCTTAGCTAAGACATGTTTATTAGCTGTGGTTCCCAATTGTTTACTAAACATGTCCCTCAGCTGTGATTCTAACACTATTTTAGTCCGTGGAAGTGATGCACTAGTGTGTAGTCGGTGTTGTATTCTTGTTCCCTTAACTGTGATGTGCACATGTTTCTTACCTTCCGTGCATGGAAGTAATGCGGTGGTCTTGGTAGCCAGTATTGTATCGCACCATAATTTGGCAGTTTTGACTATAATGCTAGTACCTATCTGTCATAGGTTTCTGTATCTATACTATCTATTTTTCTGCATTATTGCTACGGTTCATTTATAATTTTTTAGTCATTTCCATCATCAAAGTTGGATTAATTTGCCAGGAACTGTTTTCTGAGTGGCACTAGTGATTTATATAAGCTGATTTGTTTGATGTTAGCTCCATTCAGCCAAAATAAAAAATTTGTCATGCATCCTTATTTCTTTCATAAATTGCAAAAGTAAGATTTACTATTTTTGTAGTAACTGAATTGCTTGCTTAGTTGCTGTCAACTGCCAGACAATCATGTTTCCTTGGTCCATATTTTTTCCACCCATTTTATCTAAAAATGTCCATGTATAAACCTAAGCCATCGTTTCCTGTAGTGTGATCGCTATGTCATTGTTACTTAACTGATATATCTTTGTTTCTCTCATGTATCACATATTATGTGTCTGGTGTCAGGTTGCATACTGCTGACTGCAGATAGTGCTTTTCAACTGCTCCTTGTTCTGATAATGCATTGTCTCTTATGTCTTAGGTTCTTATCAACTGCCGGAACAACAAGAAGCTGCTTGGTCGCGTGAGAGCCTTTGATCGGCATTGCAACATGGTTCTCGAGAATGTTAGGGAGATGTGGACTGAGGTATGTTGAACGGTCGCTTACCTTTTGTAAAGTTTCCCTTGCTTGAACTGCTGTGTTCATTAATCATTTGTGAACACATTTTACCTGTGTTACAGGTGCCAAAGACCGGTAAAGGCAAGAAGAAGGCTCTTCCGGTGAACAAAGACAGGTTCATAAGCAAGATGTTCCTCCGTGGGGATTCGGTCATCATTGTTCTCAGGAACCCGAACTGAGTATCTTGTACACGTGGAGAGTCTATTTGCTAGTACGCTGCTATTGAGTAGTATGTATGCCAGATGCTCAAAACATGGGAGTGTAAGACGCGACATTTCCTGAACCAGAATTCGCTATGTGTATGTTGATGGTGGAGGATTTAACCTAAAGGCAAGATGCTAGGACTTGGTTTTACCTCTTGTAGCCGACTTGAACTGGATGTTTCTTTGAAGTAGTAACAAACCCCGCTGCATGAATCATTGGTTCCAATCTGTGAGTCGAGTTGTTAATGGCACACTGACTGCCAGATGTATGCTTGGTTATTTGAGTGCAATAGTAACTACCGCTAGCTTGTCTCAAAAAAAACACACACACAACCTTCACGGTCGAATGACACTATTTTTTGTACAATGGACAGTTCAGTGGGTAACTCATGATCAGCAAATTATTTGTGACCTATAACTGGCGTAGAATTGGAAAAAAGAACACTGAAACAACTCAGGGCGTAAGGAACGATAATGTTGGAAGACGGGTTTTTGCTGTTATAGATCGTTCCTTTGGCTTCTTGCATGAATACACGAAGAGCCTCAGAAGGAAACCAGTCAATTGCATTAACCAGGGTACGGAGTTAACACATACAAAAAGAAAGAAAGAAAAACCCTTGACATGTATACAATGAAAAGAGCTCTTATATAATTGATGATGCAACGAGGAACATAGTTTTTAAACATGAACAGTTGAAAATTTTACATAACTGAAAATGAGATGGAATTGTAGCTTTTATGAGCACTGCTACAAATAATCTTCAGAGAGCAAAGCACTTAAGAATCATGTTCGTGTCATGTGATTTGAAAACTCTGAAGTGCACTTCTTCAAAATCTAACCTTTACATCTGCCTCTCCCAAGTCCCAACTTCATTCAGTTGTGGCGTTGGCCACATTACTCTGATCAATACATTTTTTTGAATAAGACAAATCCTTGTCTCATCAACACCTTTCAGGGGAGAAAGGACATTCAGGAATAGATAATTAGAGATACCAGGAGTCAGGAAATAACCGATGGATCTTATGCCAGGCCCTGTGAGTGAAAAAACCAAAGCTTGGTTGCATTGATGTTTGTTCACCAACACATTTCAGCAATCATTTCAGATGGAAAATTCACGTGTATATAAAGGCAGCATGCTAAGTTCAGATGAAATAACAAATTTCATCTAGCAAAGGAAAACACAATACATGGATGTTCTGCATCCAAAAGAAACAAGAGAAGGCTTTTGTTGCACATTTACTCATCATCAGTAAAGCATATGTAGAACCCCAACATTTGGTCCCTGCTCGCTGGCCTGAGGGTCCAGGGGTGGAATGTAGCAAAGGATGTGGAAATTGCAGATGCACCTCTTGGTGAGGCATCAAATGAGTTAAATTACTGCTGCATTTTGAACAATGAATCTCTTGAGCAAGCACCGCTAAAACAGCTGGCAAAATTGTCTGATGTAGTCTGATGGCTCAACTATTACAACCTTGCTTCTGAGAACACTGCTCTCATTAAAAGGCTTATTTTCACCCACATTGTATACACGTACTCCAAAAGAATGAGCATTAAGAATATTCTTTGTGCTTACATTCAGAGTGTTAGCCCATTAACTAGTAAGATCTAATCTCTTAGCAGATACTACTGTGAACTAATGATGGCCTCTTTTAGATCAGGAGTATCATAAGGCTGTTATTTGTGATTTTCTGTGCACAACCTGACAGTACTAGCCTGGGTGGGCATGGACTGCACAAGGCACAACATTTGGTAATATGACTACTGTAGGAATCAGAATGACACTGAAAATGTCCGTTAACACTCCTACTTATCTTACAGGCATTGAGTCCCAAACCATTGTTGCCAATAAAAGTCTGCAACTAAGGATTATACTATATAATGGGGGTCATTGTCATTACTTTTTCTGTAGCATGATCTATGTGGTGGTAGTGGTGCTATGAGGCCCAGTTGTGGTTGCTACATTACTCTGATCAAACACATTGAGCAAACTGAGCTGGATTGCAGTGATGTTGTACAAGATGAAAACCAAAGCTGAACATAAACCATCACATGAGAAATGAGATACAGTAAGAACCTTTTCGCATATCCATATCAAGGTAATAGTAATACTCATTCAGAGAGGAAAAATCAGGACATGAAGAATTCATGCATTCATTCATCAAAATTCCAAATTTGCAGTGTGTGTGGGAGTACAGATCACTCCTGGTCTTGCATTTCCTTCCTGACAACTGCTACGCTCGTGAGCCTTACGGCG